GACAAGCTTGGAAGACGGAAGCAAACTTTCTTCCGCACAGCCTGCTCTAAGCCTTTTGGAGAAGAAACTGGGAAAAATGATGTCAAGACCCACCAACTGGTCAGTGCGGAAGTTCTAGTCCAGATGGAAGTGCCTGGCTTGGACAACAAGGATAGGAGGCAGTTTGCTTGGGTCACTCAGCCAGAGAAGGGCTTCTGGGCAGAAACACTGTCCTTTAGGGACAGACTGTCTCACTCTAGGTTCCAGAAAAAACAACCTGCCTCTCTTTTTCTCCCTCTTCTCCAAGGTTAGGGCTAGGTTCATAAATGCCTCGTGGTCACCTGCTTCATGCTCTTACTCTGTCAGGGTCCTAAAACCCTGGTGTTTTTGGTTCCTCCCTAGATTATACATGCTTCCAAATACCTTGTAAGGTGAACAGTCACATCTTCCTTAACATTTAAGTGACCTGGGGACGCTGCTCAGTGCATTGTCTAGTATGTGTGAGGCCATGGGTTCTAGCCCTTCACCGCAAAACCAAAACACTTAAAAAATCAAAGTTATTTACTGTTTAAGTATTTATTTATTTATTTATTTATTTTAGTACCGGAGGTTGAACCCAGGGCCTTTGTGCTGAGCTATACATCCAGCCCTTTTCTGTTTTTTGAGACGAGGTCTCAATAAGTTACCTATGCTTGGTTTGAACTTGTGGTCTTCCAACTTCTGCACCCTAGACTGGTGGGATTACAGGATTTGCCACCATGCCTGGCTTATTTACTGTTTATTTTTACTGTTTTATAAACATACGCAAAAGTTTGTATAATAATTTTACAGCTTGGTAAATTTTCACAAATTAAACATTCATGTGAAACCAGCACCTAGAGCAAGAAAACCAATATGGGACCAGCAACTCCAAGTGCCCCTGCTCTGTCATGCTCCTCTCACTACTTCTGCCTAATGGTACCAACTATCCTGACTTCTAATACCATTAGCTTTGTAGGTTTTCATACTTTTTTATAAATTGACTAATTTGAACCAGGTGTGATGGTGCACAACTGTAATCCTAGCACAGGGAAGGTATGGTAGGAGGACTGCTGTAAGTTCAAGACCAGCCTGGCCTACATAGTGAGTTCAAGGCCAGCCTGCACTACATAGTGAGACCATGTCACACACACACACACAAATTATATATATACATACATATATAGACACACACACACACACTATATACACATACATATAGTAATTCAGCATGGTATCAAGTAAATGATTTGTTTTGCTCACCAGTGTGTGAGATTTGTTCACATTGTGTACAGTTGTCAACTATCCATTCCTACTGCATGAACACATCACAACTGACTAGCATGTGGGTGGTTTCCAGTTTGGGGCTGTTATGAACAGTATTGCTATGAACATTCTAGACATATCTTTGGTGAACATATGTGCTAGCTTTTTAAAATTTATACTTCTAGATAAGGAATTTCTGATGGATATAATCTGCTTTATGCCAAAATGCTCTCCGAGGTGGTTGTATTAATTTAAATTTCCATCAGCAGTGTATGAGGTTCCTGTTGCTCCCAACACTTAAGCCAAGCACTAGGTGATGTCCTGAGAATATGCCAGGAGACAGATACTAATACTGTAGATTAGAGACAGATTTCTTCAGTCTCAGTGTAAAACTTTACAGATAAACTCTGGGCAGAGCTAGTCTTTGCCATTCTTTGGACAGGTTATGGGGCCTGGCCCCCAAGGCCCCTCACTCAGCGCTGTACAGTGTGGAGAGCAGTACAGCATCCAAGGCCTGGTGAGAGGAAGGAAGGATGAAAGGGAGGGAGAGCAGATGGGCTGGAAAAGCTCATGGTTAGTGGTTAGGGGATCAGATCAGATCGATTCTTACACTCTAAACTGTTAAAAGCTTCCTAGATTACTCCCCGAGGGGTGTTTGCATTAAACAGGGCATAATGTCATGACTAAAGAGCTGTAGGCATCTAAAGCAGACTGGTAGGGCATTTTTGGGGGTGGTTAGGAAGGCTTACAGATGCTCCTAGAAATATATTAGAGGTCCTTTGTAAAAGGCCAGCTTTTCCTACAATTATCCCCGTCTTTATCTCTCTCCCTTTTTTTTGTGGTACTGGGAATTGAATCCAGGGCCTTCACACTGAGCTACATTCCCAACCCTTTTATTTTTTATTTTGAGACAGGCTCTAGATAAGCTGCCCAGGCTGACCTTGATCTTGTGATCCTTTGGCCTCTGCCGCCGGAGCAGCTGGAATTACAGGCATGTGCTACCACATTCAAAGCCTGTTATACCTGGTATATCTTTTTTTTTTTTTTTTGTCTTTTTGAGATAGGGTCTCACTACGTAGCTCAGGAGGGCTTCGAGCTCACCTTGTAGCCCAGGCCGGTCTTGAACTCACGAAGATCCTCCTGCCTCAGCCTCCCAAGTGCTGGGATTACAGGTGTGCACCACCACGCCAGGCATGCTATCTCTTTTTTGGTGTTCTGTTTTGTTTTGAGACAGGGTTTCAAGGCCACGCAGTTCAGGCTGGCCTGGAACTCACTATGTAGCCTAGGCTGACCTCGAACTCAAGCGATTTTCCTGCTTCAGCCTGCCAGAGTGCTGGGATTACAGGCTTGCACCACTATGCCTGGATGTTCCCTTTTTATAGGAAAGGAAAGAATGTTTTCTTGTAAACCAAGCACTAAAAGGGAAATGGAAATACATGCAGGTCAACCTTTGTCAGAAAGATACACAGTTCTGGAATATTCTAGACATTTTTCACTCTTTTTAGTAACTATTCTTAAATCAAGTCTCAAAAATCTTTTCCTGTATCCCCAACCAACCACCAAATTAGATCATACCAATAATCCTTAGAACATCTGTCTGTAGTTTGGGTTTAGCTACTTTTCTGTTTTTGTTTATACTCTTATTGAAAGTCTCTTGTCATTGGACTATACTCTCTTTCTGAAGATAATCACATTTCTCCTTTCCTGGGGAGGTCAGAGGCTGAGGCTTAAATACTGATTTGATATACCTCTGATTTCAGAAACCTTCCCATTCTTGGGAGGCTGTGGCAGAAGTTGGTAAGTTCAAGCCTAGCCTGGGCAATTTAGCGAAATTGTGTCTCAAAATTTAATGGGGGGCGGAGCTGGGTAGGTAGGTCAGGGTGCAGGCCCTTAGTTCTATCCCCAGTACCACAAAAACCAAAACAAAACCCTGCCCTGGTCACTTCACTGCAAAATCCCAGTGAAAGGTCCCACACGAGCTGGAAAGGTGATGGCTTTAACTACATCTCGGCCATGAAGAGGGAAGGGAACAAATGTTAAGGAATAAATGGTAGGGCAGAGCCGCCAGGATTTTATGAGAACCCCAAGCCCGCTCTAATCCTGAAACACTAAGAAGGGTAAAGGACCCATCAAAGGACCTATTATAAAAAGATGAAGAAATCAAAACTCAAGTTAAGGGACAAGTGTGGTGGCACACGCCTGTGATCCCAGCACTCAGGAGGCTGAGGCAGGAGGACCACTGTGAATTTCAGGTCAGTCTGGGCTACATAGTGACTTCAAGACCAGTTTGCACTACAAAGTGAGACCGTATCTTTAAAAAAAAAAGGACCGAGTGAAGAAACTTAATCCTTAATCAAGGTCACAGAGAACTATGTCCAGACCATTCTGAAGTTGTTTTCCCACCAGACCTCAATATTTCCAAGATCAACAGATTTATTTATCACATAGGCACTGAGTGCCTACAGTGTGTGCCAAGCCCTTGCTACATGACAGTAGACAAAACGGGCGAGTTTCCTTCCCCCGTGAAGTGCACACATCTGGCAGACCTAGCCAAAGAAGCAGGTTGGGGAAGGAGGCCCAATTCATTTCATCTACTATGCGGGCTGGAGCTCTCATATGCGGGTGAGTCATTCATTTGGGCACCCCCTCCTCCACACCAAAACTGAAATGGCCTTATAAGCAGGGTCAAGGTAAAGGGTGGGGGTCAGTAAAGAGTACTCTTTTTCTGACGTGAAAGCTTCCCTCGCGAAAGAAAGGAAAATACCCAAGTCTCAAAAACCATCTTCACCCCCTACTCCGTTCCAGGGTAAGCAGGTGGGCGTGGAGGGAGAAACAGTGAGGTGTGCTGCGAACCCTCCAGCAGCCACGACTCGGTTGCCGGAGGGATACCGGGGGTAGGCGAGGGACACGAGGGCGCTGAGCTCCCAAATTACCCGCTGGGTACCTCGGAACACCTGCGAGGGGCCCGCCCCCTCCCAAGGCAGCTAGAGCAATGAATGGGCAGCTCCTGCTCTCCAGCAATCGCCGCCACCCTTCCCCCGATCTCGGTCTCTAGGCGCTGCTGCCGTCACGGGGGGGGGAGCCGTGGGACAGCAAGCAAACACGCTCGGGAGCGCCAGCCAGGGCCCTGGGACCGAGGGGCGCTGCCCCATCAGGGAGAGCGGCGGGAGCCGCAGCCCGCCAGGACCCCGCCCCCGCCCAGCCCAGGCCCAGCCCGCGAGCGCCGCGCCGGAGGTGGATGAGGACCTTCAGCCCCCCAGCCCCCACCCAGCTCGAGGCAGGGGCGAGCCTCGGGGGTCCTCGCTCCCACCTTACCTCCTTTTTCACGTTCCACAGCAGTTTCTCTTTGACTGCGTCTTCGGCGCTGCCCATGGCGTGGCGGGTGGCGGGGAGGCGGCGCTGAGCGGCCCCTCAAGCCCCCCGCGTGCCCTCGCCGCCTCCGCGCCTCTCAGCTCAGCGCCTCAAGCGCAAGGCGTAGCCCCCGCTCGCTGCACTCCCCGCCTGCCGCCGCCGCCGCAGCCACTGCCCGGTGCTCGGCTCCGCAGCCATCTTCCGAGCCCCGCACCGACGTCAGGCAGCAGGCCCGGCCCCTTCCCACCGCCGGAGAGGGGGGGCTGCGCACTGCGACGGGGGGGGGAGTAGGGGCGGAGGGAGGGGGCTGGGCGCGCCTGGGGGCGGCCGGCCTGGGCGCGCGCCTCAGGGACCGCTGTTATGGCAACGCGCCTGCTCCCTCTCCGAGGGCGCGAACTTGCATTGTGAGCGTCGGTTAGCTAGTACTGCGCAGCGCCGGGCTGGTCGGCCCTCAACTCGGCTAGATGCTAACTTCTATCCGAAAGAAGGGAGAGCAAGGGATTGGAACGCCGGCGCCCCGGCTGTAGGTCCCCAGAGCTCGATCTGCCCGCGAAAAGCCAGCGTTCTCTGTCTGGTTCCACTGCTCCCTGTGGAGCTCACGGCCAGCCCTCGGTCTTGGTTGCAAAGTGTGTGGGAAAAGATGTGGGGCGCAGCTCCAGGTTCTAGAGAACCAGAGCCCCAGGGCAGGAAGGCCAGAGCCATTCCCCCCCTTTGGAATCGCTACGTCCCTTCTTGAGCCCACGTGAGAGCAGATTGGATTACTGGGACCTCGGGGTCTTGTGTAGAGCTGGTGAGGGTGAGACAAGCGCGTTCTGCCTTAGAACTTGAAGGGAAAGAAAAGGTTGCTCAGTGATCCCACTTGCTGTTGCAAACTAAAGACTGGCGTGTGCGAGTCTATAGGTGAGAGGAGGGGCTTGGGCCTCTGGGCCACGAACGGAGTATGCCATTCAACATTTTGCTACGCGATGGAACTTTACAGTACGACAAGTGAAAATATAAGTGGGCAAAATAGTCTTCCTGGACTGAGAGAGCACATTCTCCTGTCTTAAAGCTTCTTAACCACAGGCTGCAGCGTGGGAAAAGTTCCCACGGTAGTTCTGCTGAGACTCCAAAGCCAAGCTCTCAGGCTGGAGGGAAACACCTCGCGAGAGGGTGCGGGAGCCCCGCCCCCGGAGAGCCCGCCCCCCTGCAGGGGACCGGAAACCCTCTGCCTAGGCCGGAAGTATTGCTGACTTGGCGCATGTGAGCCGCAGCATGGCGGCGCACCGATCTGGCCCGCTGAAGCAACATAATAAAGCTCATAAAGGCGGGCGGCATCGGGGTCGAGGATCCGCACAGCGGGACGGCAGAGGTGAGGAGACAACGTATAAAGTGTTGTTAGTCGATACTAGTTGCTTTTCCCAGGCCTAAATTGGGCTACAGTCCCTGGCCTGGGACCCGCAAGAAAGGCCCATTGTGAGGACCGAGAAGGGGTGCCCCTTTGTCGGATTTCTGTTACCGAAAAATCACAGGCCCTTCTAATTGCTCCCTCAGGCCGCGTGGAACTGAAAGTCCTGTGCAAGAAGGTGAGAAAAGAGCTCAGCAGAGTAGACCAGAGGCATCGCGCCGGCCAGCTCCGAAAGCAGAAAAGGGAGGCGGTAAGAGGAGGAGTTTGGGACGTGATGCGGGTTCTCTACCCTTCTAGATACATACTTTGAACTGTGGAATGACCTGGAAGGGGCTGAAGACGGAAAACCACGCCAGAGCACGTGCCAGGTCTTCACGTTTAGGTTTAGGCTAGAGCATTCTTTGCTTTAGTGCATCCTCCTGCCACCCCCTGCCCCCTGACGTACATGCGGCCTTTAACCAGAAAAGTGCTGGTTAGGCGTGGGGGCATCTGCAGTACTAGAGCAAATTACAGAGGTTTTTCTGATGCTTTTCTGTTCGCAGGTTCTGGCAGAGAAGAGACAGTTAGGCAGCAAAGATGGGGCTCCTCATCAGGTGCTGGTGGTGCCTTTGCATAGCAGAATTTCCTTGCCTGAAGCCCTTCGCCTGCTTCAGGATAGGAACACAGGGACAGTGCACCTGCAGGAATGGGAGAGCACACACCGCTTTATGATGCTGTGTCCTCGATTGAAACGTCGGTGGTTTTTTACAGCTGCAAAGCCAGGTTAGCGAATATAATATTTTTCCAACATTATGTTTGAGTATCAGTAATATCTCCTGAGTATAAGGTGTTTGTGCTAACCACTGCTTCTTATGGTGTCTTCCATTCCTAGGGGATCTGCATACTGTATTAGACATGGCTAAAGTGGCTGATACCATCCTATTCCTCCTTGATCCAGTAGAAGGCTGGGACAGCACTGGGGATTACTGCCTTTCCTGCCTCTTTGCTCAAGGCCTTCCCACCTATAGTAAGTGAGTTGGGGTACTGGAGGCTGGGGAAAGAAGTGAATTAGCATTTGTTGTGCACCTATCATTTTTCAGGCACTGTGTCTGACATCTGACTCCAGAACAAAGCTGATGAGTTGTATTTAGTTGGTGTTGGAATGTAGTTACAAATTAAACTTGGTCATTTGATTACAAATTTTCAATCAAGATGCCTTTTTTTTCAAGGTGCCTTTTTGTTTCTGGGCTGTCCCTTATTCAGAACAAGAAAGATAGGAAGTTTGGTTTTCGATGATATCTCTTGAAGGTAGCTAGATTTTGGGTTTTCTGGAGATCTCTAGGATCACAGAACTGTTAGGTTAGTGTTAGTTTGTGAACTACAGTGGGATTTTCATGTAATGAAGCTTTTCTTCTTTTGCTTACAGCACTAGCTGTCCAAGGGGTTTCTGGCCTCCCACCGAAGAAGCAGGTAGATTCCAGAAAGAAACTAAGTAAAGTAGTGGAGAAACGCTTTCCTGATGACAAATTCTTCCTGTTAGACACTCAGCAGGAGGCAGAAACGCTGCTTCGGCAGTTGGCTAACCAAAAGCAAAGGCATCTTGCTTTTCGAGATCGGCGGGCCTACTTGTTTGCCTACACTGCTGATTTTGTGCCAAATGAAGAGAATAACTTGGTGGGCATCTTGAAAATCTCAGGCTATGTTCGTGGGCAGACTTTGAATGTAAACAGCTTGATGCATATCGTTGGACATGGTGATTTTCAAATGAAACAGATTGATGCCCCTATGGACCCTTTCCCTTTAAATCCTAGAGTGATTAAATCTCAGAAGGATCCAGCCATGGCAGTGGAGGTAAGCTTAAGGTTTTGTTTTGAGACGCGCTCTTGCTATGTTGTCCAGGCTGGTCTTGAACTTCTGGGCCTAAGTGATTGTCTCAGCTTCCCATACGGTTGGGACTACAGGTGCATACCACCATGCAATTCAATATTGATTTGTTTTTTGTTTTTTTTTTTGAGATATATCATTGTATAGTCTAGGCTGGTCTCCAATTTGTGATCCTCTTGGCTCAGCCTGTTGAGTGCTAGGATTACAGGGGTTACAGAATTGTAGGATCACAAAGTGCTTCACATTGACTTTTGGAAAAGATACTGGGGATTGAATCCAAAAGCATGTACGTATTGTAGGGCTAGGGCTGCAGCTCAGAATGCTTGCCTAGCATGTGCAAGGCCCTGGGTTTGATACCCAGCACTGCTTAAAAAAAAGACACGTAGAGTCATAAGTAGTTTGGCATAGGATGCAGTGTTGGGGATTTTGGACTGAGTTAAATTCCTAGCCCCACACTGTTTTTGCTTGGTTGTTTGTGTGTGTTTTGGGGGTTTTTTGTCTTTTTGAGACAGGGTCTTGATGTGCAATTTAGGCTGTCCTTGAGCTCACTTTGTAGTCCAGGCTGGTCTCAAACTCACAACAATCCTCCTGCCTCGGCCTCCTGAGTGCTGGGATTACAGGCATGCCCCACCATACCTGGTGCTTGTTTCTTAAGGCAGTCTCTAAATTGCCCAGGCTGTGTTTGAACTTGTGATCTTTCTGCCTCAGATTCTTATCATGCTGGAATTGAAGGTGTGTACCACCAAGCCCAGTGAGATGGAAATTTAAATTCAGAAGAGGTAGTCAGTGCACTAGATTCAATGAAGAAACTGCTAGTTCAAAATAAGGCAATAATCAACTACAAATATGTTGGTAAATTATATTTACCCAGCATTTTTAGATGCTGTGCACTATAACTGGCTGTGAGTTTATAGAAGAAACACAAATTTGGTTACTTTTGTCAAGGAACTTAATTTAATTTAGAAAAACATGGCAAGCACTGGTGTCTTAGTTACTTTTCTCTTGTTGCTGAGACAAAATACCCCACACCGAAAGTTAAAGGAGGAAAGGTTTATTTAGGTCACAGTTTGTAGGGTGGCACATGGCAGAGGAACAACCATTCATGGTGGCGGAAGACAACAAAAGCAACAAGGGAGGAGACGAGACTGTCCCTTATATTGTATGCAGGCTACCTACCCTAGGGTCGGTGTAGCACATAACACCCTTAATCCTAGCCAGACTATGCCAAACCAATTAGTGGATGATTTACTAATCACACACCCTTAATCTCAGCTTCACACACTCTAGATTCAGCCACCTCTGAAAAAGCCCCATCACCCCATGAGGCTTTGGGGAGACATCTAGACACAAACCATAACAACTGGTGAAATAAAGATTAGGATAGTCTATGGTTAAAAGTACAGACTTGCTGTGGAAGTTGAGAAAGTGGTTTTATAGCAATGATCAGAGTTGAGCCTGGTGTTGAAGGATGAGTATGATTTATGAGTTGAGCAAAAGTGAAAGAATGTGTTTGAAGATAGAGACAATATGAACCCTGGCACAGTGATGGAGGAAAGAGTTTCTTAGAATTTTGAAGAAAGCTTAATAGAAGTGAGGAATATGATAAGCAGATTATGAAAGGCCTCAAGAAGCAAGCAGGGGTGTAGAGTTAAAATGTTAGGAAATGGTCATTTGCAAAATTTTGACAGGTTTTGATTGTTTCACGCATCTATATGAAGACTGATGTTTCTGGTTGCTGTGTTAGATCTAGTAGATTTTTGGTTAATGTTTGACCGGCCAATACCTCCTTTGGTTTTCAGGTTTGTGCTACAGATGCTGTAGCTGATATGGAAGAAGACCTTAAGGTCCTAATGAAGGCAGACCCTAGCAGGCAGGAGTCTTTGCAAACAGAGGCTATCCCAGACCCAATGGATGGGGAGCAAACCTGGCCCACTGAGGAGGAGCTGAGTGAGGCAAAGGGTTGGTAGTGACAAACTTGTTATTCATTTGACGTGAAATTGGGGTTTTGGTATAGTTATCCACAGGTTAGCTGCTCATACCCTATAGGGTAGAGTGGGTTAAGGTCATAGTTCTCCCTTACCTCCAGATGCTGTATGATTGCATTAAGCAAACACAGGATAAAACTTTGCTCCATTTCTCAAAATTACTTGTGTTACTGGTTTTTGTTTTTTTGTTTTTTGGTCTTTTTGAGACAGGGTCTCACTCTGCACTTCAAACTGTCCTTGAGCACTGGGATTACAGGCAGGCGCACCACGCCTGGCTTGCGTTACTATTTTATAGTGAACAGAAAACAACTTTGGCTTTACTGCAGGGTTTATTTAAATGTCCATTGCTAATTCTGAGACAGGTAAATTAAATTAGAAGTATTCTGTTTATGGCATCTGCTACTTTGCCATGGCAGCAATATCTAGTAACTTGGTAGGAAAGAAAACCAAGTGATGGGGGTAAGGAGATACAAAACTTACTCATTTGTGCTTTATAGACTTGTTGAAGGAAAGTTCCAAGGTGGTAAAGAAGGTCCCCAAGGGAACATCCAGTTACCAGGCTGAATGGATTTTGGATGAAGGTGGTGAAAGTGGTGAGGAAGGAGATGACTATGATGATACAGAACATGAGGATTTTATGGAAGAGGAATCTCAGGTAAGGCAGTAGGCCCTTAGGCTACTTCCATATATAACAAGAGACAAAATGCAATAGTGACCTTTATTTTGTATTTTTGTTGTGTTGGGGATTAAACCGAGGTCCTTCTTGCTGAGCTACTTTCCCAGACCTTTTTCATTTTTTATTTTGAGAAGGGTCTCACTGCTAAATTGCCAGGCTAGACTCAAATTCAAAGTCCTCCTGCCTCAGCCTCCCAAGAGTGCTAGGATTATAGGCGTAGACTGTCATGCAGTCCGGACCTTTAGAGATGTTTGGTCAGCTTCTTAGGAATAACTGCTGTGACTAGGAGATAAGATTTTTTTTTTTGGAGACAAGATCTCACTATGTATTCTAGGTTGGCCTCAGACTTGGAGCAATTTTCCTGCTTCAGCCTCCCAAGTGCTGGAATTACAGGTGTGCACCATCATGCCTAGCTAAGGCTTTTGTTTTATGACTTTTTATTAGAATTTATATTGGTTGGGACTCCATGTGTAGTGAAATTACTTTATTCTTAGCTTAATGGTCTTTGGGGTAGACATACTTTTTTTCTGAGGTAACTACAGTATAATCCATTATTTTACAGTATGGGAGTGGTGAAGAAGAGGAGGAGGAATGTGAAACTATGACAGTAGGGGAGTCTGTGCGTGATGATCTGTATGATGAGAAAATGGATGAAGAGGCTGAGGAAAAAATGTTGGAGAAATATAAACAAGAAAGATTGGAAGAGATGTTTCCAGATGAAGTGGACACACCCCGTGATGTGGCTGCTAGAACTCGGTTAGTCAACAAGTTTAAATTCAAACAAGCTTTTATTTAAAGCTTCTGTGAGTCAGAACTATGTCACTGTAATGGAAAAGAAGAAAAATACATTGATCTTGCACCTGAAGGGTTACATTCTACAAGGGAAAGTGACATGCTATGGGAAACTCATATGTAATCATGTTCTAGACTATAGTATAGACTAATGTTATAGGACTCTTATGAAGGAGAACTATTAAGGTTAATTTAGCAAATACTTCCTGTAGGAGGTACTATTCAGTTAAGTATATAACATTAGAAGACTTTTGGAGAATTTGGGTATAAGAGCAAAAATAGAAGTATGAAGATGTAGATGATTGTGTCTGGTCTGAAAGTGAATCTGATTAAAACTAGAGAAGTTATATTGGATATCAGAGTGGTAAAGCTATCACCAAGAATCTTGTTTGTTATGTTAAAGAGCAACTCCCTGACACATATGAGGGAGCCACTGTAAATTTTCCATCTAGTCAGGGAGAAGCTTAGGTGTGGTTCTGAAATACTTGTTAAAAGCTATTTCATTATGTGGTCTTTTTTGGTACTGGGATTCAAACTCATGACCTCGCACTTGCCAAGGAGGTGCTGTGCTGCTGAGCTATATCTTCAGCCCTTCAGGATGTGATCTTGATTCAAGGTCTTAGGTTATTTTGAGATAATGTTTAGAGTTCTTTTAAGACAGAGTGGTAGTTTAGAAATGATATGAGCCTTGTGTAGCACTATATAATCTCTTAAGTTTCTTTAAAATCTCCTGTATCTTAGATTTCAGAAATACAGAGGCCTCAGGAGCTTCCGGACATCTCCCTGGGATCCTAAGGAAAACCTTCCTCGAGATTATGCTCGTATCTTTCAGTTTCAGAACTTTACTAATACTAGGAAACGCATCTTTAAAGAGATTGAGGAAAAAGAGGCTGAAGGAGCTGAGGTATTTGCCTTTCCTTGTCCATGCTATAATCTGTGTACCACAATGTTGTGCTGCTCCTCTTGGCATGAGAGTACTTAATTTAATTTGTGGGTTTTATTTTTTGACACAGGGTTTCACTATGTAGTTCAGGCTGCCCTTGAACTCACTTTGTAGCCCAGGCTGGCCTCAAACTCACAGGGATCCACCTGCCTCAGTCTCGCGAGTGCTGAGGTTACATGCCTTAGTTTAGTTTTGTATTGTTCATAATTCAATTTGGGGAACCATTGAGTCATGGACAAGAGTGATATTAGGAACAAAGAGACATCAGCTGTAAACTGAAGAAGTCGAGGTATCTATGAAAAGCAGTCTTGAAGGGTAACACTGGCTTTAGGGTAGTTTGAGAGACTTTTAATGCATTTGGAGAAATGTTTCGTTATTATTGGGACTTTAAGGGAATACTGATTTTTTTTTTTTGTCTTTTTTTGAGACAGGGTCTCACTATGCAGTTCAGACTGGCCTCGAGCTCACTTTATGGCCCAGGCTGGTCTCAAACTTCAGTGATCCTCCTGCCTCAGCCTTCTGAGTGCTGGAATTACAGGCGTGCACCACCACGCCTGGCTAGGGGAATACTGATTGTTTTCTGCTTCCTTCTGGCAGGTTGGCTGGTATGTCACACTTCACGTCTCTGAAGTCCCTGTCTCAGTGGTTGAGGACTTCAGGCGGGGAACACCCTTGATTGCATTTTCTTTGCTACCTCATGAACAGAAGGTAAGTTAAGTCTTGTGGGAATGAGTTAAGAAACTCTCCAACCCATTCACGACATTTTGATCATTGGGACGCAAAATGTGTCATGATTTTAGAAATCAAAGAACAAAAGAGAGCGGTCAATGATGGTTTTAACCCAAAATGTCTGAACCTGTCTGAAGCATCTCTTTGATGCAATCTTTTTGTTGCTCTGAGACCTCTCTGAGATAGGTATGTTTCTCAGATTTGAACAAGGGCTGGCACCCTTAAAAATAAAGGTTTATACCAAGGTGCAAATCTCTCTTCTCTAGGGAGCCAGTAGTCATGCACACTGAGTATGTGACAGCTCTGAAGTTTGGTCAGTGTGAGTAAGGATTGAGGAAAAAGAGGCTTCAATGCATGTTTTTGCAGTGTATGGTGAGTGAATGATTTGAAGGCTGATGACTTTGTGTCAGGTGTTGACCATTTTTCATGTTAGATGCAGGAAGGTAAGCTAGTTTTAAAAGATTTATGAGCCAGGTGTGGTGTTGCCACGCCTGTAATCCCAGCACTCAGGAGGCTGAGGCAGGAAGATCATTGAGTTTGAGGCCACCCTGGGCTGCAAAGTGAGCTCAAGGCCAGCCTGAACTGCATAGCAAGACCCTGTCTCAAAAAGACCAAAAAAATAAATAAAAAATAAAAGGTTCTTGAAAGCTCTGATCAACCCATGTTCACCCCTAATGCTAGTTGTCACTAAAGGATAAACCTGTGTCTCATCAATTATCATCTGCCATTAATTATCATTGTCAGTTCTTACTGTTTATCTGATACTTGTTTGATTTTGCCTTATTTCAGGTTAGGTTGTTGTATTTTTAGACCATGAAACATTTTCTTACTTGGTCCTCAGATGTCAGTATTGAACATGGTGGTGAGCCGGCACCCTGGCAACACTGAACCTGTGAAAGCCAAAGAGGAATTGATTTTCCATTGTGGATTCAGACGTTTCCGAGCCTCACCTTTATTCTCTCAGCACACTGCAGGTTAGTAGTGGGGAAGCTTCTTGGTTCTTGTCTATTTTAATGTCTCTTAGGAGACTGACTGTTGGTGGGGAGGTAGGTGGGGAAGGCACAGAATAGAGTTCAAACTTAGAGATCACAGTTCAGTACTCTGACTTAGGAGCCAATGATGTTTTTTATTTATAATGTCTGAACCTATCTGAAGCATCACCATGATGCAACCTCTGTTGCTGAGGCTTCTTTGCCATGAGTATTTGTTCCAGTCGGTTTTGAATCAGCAGCTTTATGAAAAAGGAATGTGTCAGTATGTGGGAACTTGGTGTCTGGTGTGCCACTGTCATCATGAAGTAATAGGGGCAGGATGTGGCCCAGAATTGGGTAAAACGTGAGTTTCAAGGTGTTGAGACTAGCCAGGCATGGTGGCGCACGCCTGTAATCCCATCACTCGGGAGGCTGAGGCAGGAGGATTGCTGCAAGTTCGAGACCAGCCTGGGCTACAAAGTGAGCTCATGGCTGGCCTGAACTGCACAGCGAGACCCTGTCTCAGAAAGACAAAAAAAAAAAAGAAAAAGGTGTTGAGACTAGATGAGAATTTGGAAAGTGGTAGCCAGGGACATTTGTGTGGCAAAAATGACTATGCTCCTACATATTAGGAGTAGCAAGATGGGTTGCCTACTAATTTGGTAGCTTTTGAAGATAACCTTAGCTCACTCATCCTTTAGCACTGGTAGGACAGATGAAAACAGGATTGATGGTGCTTTGGAAAAGTTTTATTACCCAGCTCTTTGCAGTAAATGGTTTGCCAGTCCCGGCTCAAGACTAAGTGCTGAAGATTTAGCAGAGGAGTCTCAATAAAGCACTGATTTTCAAATAACTTGGCATCAGAATAACCTGGAGAACTTTTTGGAACCTAATTTTAGTTTGGTCCCCAAGATTTCTGTCTCTAGTTGCAAAATGACAGGGCTGGGGTATATGTCTTTAGTAGTACTGAGATGGGGAAATGTGTTAAGCCTTAGTAGGGCCAAGAACACAAGCTGCTTTCAGTTTCAGTTCAGTTTGGCAGCTGGACTTGGGTTGTAGCCCAGTGCCTGGCTAGCATGTGTGAGGCCTTGTGTTCATTCCCCAGTACTGGAAGGAAAAAAACGCAGCGATAAGGGTTTTTCCCTATGGTTTCTCACAATGTTTTGGATTTTTTCTTTTGTAACCTTTATCATTGCAGCGGATAAACACAAATTTCAGAGATTTCTGACTGCTGATGCAGCCTTGGTGGCAACAGTATATGCACCAATTACTTTTCCTCCTGCATCTGTGCTTCTTTTCAAGCAGAAAAGCAATGGTGAGTTGAGTTCATGTCAGTGATCAGCCCTACCATCTTTAATAGGATTATAAGTTTTATTTCTATATTTTGATTTGGGAGCCAAACAGTATGGAAAATGTAATGAAGGTTTTCAATCTCAGCCTTTCAATGGTTATAAGCCAGGGATGATAAACTTGGTTTTTTGTTGTTTGCAACTCTTAGCTAATCAGTAGAGACTGCTCTGAGTGCTATATTTAGGATAGGTTTGGGCATAGGCTCAGTAGGAATATCATTTAGTGGTCTTTGCTATGAACACAGGATAGGGCGATAGTACATACTAATTTTAAGATTTCTCCAAGAAAATCTTATATATAAGCTGTCTTTAAATGGACTAGATCAACACATGAGACTGTAGGCTCCTGAACAGCTGCTTTCCTTTCCCCCTTTAGGAATGCACAGCCTCGTTGCTACAGGATATCTATTGTCAGTGGATCCGGACAGAATGGTCATCAAGAGAGTTGTCCTGAGTGGTCATCCCTTCAAAATTTTTACTAAGATGGCAGTAGTGCGGTACATGTTCTTCAGTAGGGGTAGGTATGAAGGAGATGGGATCCGACTGCCTTTGTGGTATGAAGATTGGGCTTGTATTTGTGGGTATATTCATCTTGGTCTTCTCTGTGTGTTTTAAGAGGATGTCCTGTGGTTTAAACCAGTGGAACTGAGGACAAAGTGGGGCCGCAGGGGACACATCAAAGAGCCTTTAGGTAAGGGAATGTGGGATTTGGAATCTCACCTAGCTTTCTCCACTGCTACCAAAGGAGCATTGGGTTTCAGGTTCACAGCTTTAAATTTTCTACCTCTCCCCCACCCCCCACCCCCTGCCTCCACTGGGGATAGAACCTAGGGCAAAGGCAAATGCTCAATCATTGAGTTATACTCCTAATACTTTTTATTTTTAATTAACTAATTATAAGTAAAATAAAAGATATAGGAAATAAGTAGATGGGCTTTTTGTAAATGGGAAGGGGACCAAGAGATGGAGGGAGGGGGAGGGGATGGAGGGGTTTAAAAAAGTTAAGGTGCATTGTGTACATGATGTGCCAGCTCCCCATGAGGAATGTGATCATTATGTACTACAAACATGTAATAAAGTAAAAACTGGAAAAAGGTTTTTAAAAATTGATTAGTTTTATAGTATTAAAGATTGCCCCCAAGGACTTTGTACTGAACTATATTCCCAACCCTTTTTGTCTTTTTATTTTGGGCCAAGGACTCACTAAGTTGCCATGCCTGGGTTTGAATTTGTGGTCCTCCTGCCTCAGACTCTCAAGTAGCTGGGATTGCAGGCATGCAAAAATTTTCTCCTTTTACTACCATGTTCTTTTATTTTTCTTTTTTGTTTTTGTTTTTTGAGAAGGTCTCACCGTGTAGTTCAGGCCATCCTTAAACTCACTGTGTAGTTCAGGCTAGCTTCGAACTTGAGGTGATCCTCCTGCCTCAGCCTCCCAAGTGCTGGGATTGTAAGTGTGTGCCACCACAGCCAGCTAACCTACTGTTTTATTTTTAGGTACCCATGGCCACATGAAGTGTACTTTTGATGGGAAGCTAAAATCTCAGGACACAGTACTGATGAACCTCTATAAACGAGTTTTCCCCAGATGGACTTATGATCCATATGTACCAGAACCAGTATCTTGGGTGGACAGTAAGATTTCTTCAACAATGCCTGAAGTGGACATGGAATAATGGATTTTGTCTTACTCCTGCCAGTTAGCACTTCCAGGATGGGAGCCTATAGATTGTGATAGAGCCTATAGTCTGTGGTTTTTGCTTTAGCCTGTCTCTTAGTTGTCCTATTTACAGAACGCTTTTTGGCCTAACAAATGTCTCAGTTAAGTATGGAAGTTTTTCTACTACAACTTAATTTTAAAAACCTATTCAATCTTCCTGAAATTTGTATTTTCCATTAGGATTTTGAAAACTAAGAGGAGTATGGAAAACAACAATTTCATGTATGTAGAGACACTTAATCACATCTCTTCATTTTGCATAAATGAATGGCTGATTGGGACCTGGCCTTTCAGCTGGCTTCACCCAAGTCAGGGAAGTTAAGTCTACATTTCCACCACTTAGCACAATACAAATGTTCTTTACTTCTGGAGAAACTGTTTGAAAGTTGTGAGACAGCACAGCAGCTACTCCAACACCAGCTGTAGGTTCAATGAGTAGTTTCATCCTCTCCCACACAAGCTGGGTTGCATACTGTTGACAGAGAAGGAAGTAACGATAAGTGAGGTAGGAGAAGGTAAAGTCCAGTAGGTTCAATTCTAAAGGCCCATAAAGGATGTGTGCTGTGTTTGACTTTTTATGTTGCTCTGTATGTATGCTTGCCAATGAAGCACGCATACAGCTTTCATTCCTACCTAATACTTTCAAAAGGTTTGTCAGTACATGTAGGGCACTCTCCCACATGTCATGAAGTCACCTACTTAAAGCCCCACAGAGCTGGGGATGTGGCTCAGCACAGCACCTGCCTGGCAAGTGCAAGGTCCTGAGTTCAATTCTTGGTACTAAAAAAAAAAAAGCCCAAAGATTAGTTTCTTCTCTTAACAGAAGGTTCTTTTTTGCCTTAGTGACTATACTATTCTTATTACAGCTATTCCTATTGGAGACTTACCTTAATTTCATCCTCTGTAACAGTGAAGACGTCATCCACAAGGTCCCTTATGATAGGCCACGTGTTTGTGCCAATGCTGGCTTTGACACCATCTGCTACAGTTTCTGGAGGACAAGCATTGGGGGTCAGTTCCCCTTTCAGTTTGGACTGGTAGCAGTCATCTGCATTCAAGGGTTCAGCAGCATATACCTTCACACTAGGTTTCAGAGCCTGAGAAAAGAATATTAGATACCTTAAAACTATCCATAGCATGTGTGCAGGCCTAAAACAGGCACACTAGATCACACATTTCTACCTGAGAGTCTTCTCCTTAACAGACGTAGTAGAAGTGTGACCTTAAAGCATTTCATATAGTAAGTTGTATGTTTAATACCAGCCTTTAGTTATCTGTATCACAACTGGTTCTGGTAATTCCGGAAGAGTAGGCTCTGTCGTGGATAATAGTTCGGTGAAATGGATTCAGGGAAAGGACTGAAGGTGTCATTCAATGTAACCATACTGTGTTATAAAATCATAAGTAAAGAAGAGGGTAGTAAAGCTCAGAAGGGCTTTGCGTCTCAGGTTCCAAGAGATGTTGGGAAAGAGTGGCAGTTTGGAGGGTAGTGAGCACATTTCCACAGTGCAGTATGATGTAAATAAATCCTCAGTGCCAAATGCAAGAAGTCTGTCAGAAGCTGTTTTCTCACCTTAACTGTAATTGCTATTCCAGCAACCATTCCTCCTCCGCCTACAGGTACCACCAGTGCATCCACCAAGGGAACCTTTAGTAAAAATATAAATAGGTCAATTAGTAAGCAATTTAGTATCTACACATAAAGTAACCAAATCTCTTGCCAAACAGCTTTACCAGTAGCTAAATAGAAGGAACTAACTAGGCTGTTTTACCTGGTTCAGCACTTCCAGGGCAATTGTTCCTTGCCCAGCTATTACTGCAGGCTCTTGGTTGGGATGTACCAGGATGCCTTCTGTTTCTTCCATAATTCTTTTTGTAACCTTTTCCCTAGACTGAAAGAGTACAGTAACTTGATTTGCATCTAGTATTTTTCAGAAAGTTGGTTTAGCAGTTTATTGACCATTTGCTTTTTGTCAGAACAAAATATACCCTGTCCTCCAAGAAAGTTATATTCTTAAAAGTGGGATATAAGTAAACATGTGGTATATGTGCAAGTACTGTATAGCTAAGTGAAAGCAGTGCAGAGGCGGACCAGGAAGGCCTTCTGTAAATTGCAAGATGACGGATATGAACAGTCACTGTGGATGTGCAGAACATTGCAAGGGTGTGGTAGTAGCACGTGCCAAGGCTGCAAGGTAGGAGCGGTTGACCTTTCTGAGCAACTAGTAAGTGTTGTGATTGGCATGGTGTGTGTGGGGACGGAAATGGTGAGATGAGGTCAGAAAGCTAGAAATTGGTTAGTTCATCTAGGCCTTAAATAATACAAGAACTTCAGTTGGCTGGGGAGGTGTAGCTTAGTGGAAAGAATATACTTAGCACGTGTAAGGCCCTGGGTTTAGTCCCCAGCACCAAACAAAACAAAACACTTTCAAAAGCTGAGTGTGATGGCACATCCCTATAATCCCCACACTCAGGAGGCTGAGGCAGGACTGAATTTGAGGCCAGGCTGCACTACATAGCAAGATTTAATCTCAAAAAAACAGTCTTTGGTTTTTCACTGTGTATAGGTGGGAAACGATGGGAGGATTTGATTTCACAAAAGCCAAGTGCTAACTTACTAAATGGGTAGCTTTGATTGCTCTGGAGAACAGACGAGAGGTATGAGAGTGAAAGCAAAGACCAGTTAGGCTACTAAATCTAGGTGGTGGTGGTGGAGGCTGTTAACAGTAGATGGATTATGGAAATGTTTTTGACAGGACAGACTTGGAGATGTGAGAGTTATCAAAAGTATTTTCCTTCAGCAACTCGGATAAATGTACATGTTGGCGTGTATTAAGATGACAAAGATTGTGGAAGCGGGTAAGATCAGGAGTTTGGTTTTATTTTTTATTTTGGCTTTTTGAGACAGGTCTCCCTATGCAGCTCAGGCTGGCTTGAGCTCACTTTGTAGCCCAGGCTGGTCTTGAACTCACAATGATCCACCTGCCTCAGCCTCCCGAGTGCTGGGATTACAAGCGTGCGCTACCACGCCAGCAGGAGTTTGGTTTTAGGCATAGTAGCTTTGAGATGCCTCTGAAGATGACCAAGTAGCAATGTTCAGTAGATGCTGGATATACAAGTGTGGAGTTAAGGGGAGAGATCAGGACTGGAATTGAGTAGAGATGTTATTTTAAATTGAAATTAATGAGACCATCTTGAGTGAGCACAGATAAAGAAAAGGTTGGACAAATGAAGCTATTAAGGTATTATTGGAGACTGCTTTCCTCCTTACCTCATCACTCTGCTCACTGTATATTATGGAAGCTCCATAGGCTTGTATTGCCAGTTTTTTACAGTTGGGAGCCGTTTGGGGCACCACAATATAAGCAGGAATCCCTTGGAGGGGAAAAACATGTTAGTATAAGTCAAGAGACTTTAGTATAAAAACTTAGTTTATTTTGCTTGTAATCAGATAGGGACTCCTTTAGAAATTTACTTCCCGGGGCTAGGGATTTAGCTCACCGGCAAAAGCGCCTGCCTGGCAAGCGCAAGGTCGTGAGTTCGGTTCCCGGTACCGGAGAAAAAAACCAAAAAAAATAAATAAATTTTCTTCCCATATCTATCACCTCTCCCACTAAAATCAAGGATAATTTTCCACTTTCTGATAATTCTACCCGGCATCCTGAGAAATTAATCAAGTACCTTCCAGTTTGGCAGCGTAGGTGAGAGCCTGGCCATGGTTCCCACTGCTGTGAGTAACAACAGCTTTGGGCTTCCCTTCTAAAGTGGCAGGAATTAAGGCTCTGATGGCATTAAGGGCACCACGAATCTGGAAAAGATGATGAGTTCATGTACAGTCACTCACCGCTTTGTGATGGGGACTGTTTTAAGAAATGCATCATTAGGCAGTTTCCTTGTGTGAACATCCTAGAGTATAATTGCCACAACTTAACTTTCTAGGCTAAAAACCTGCACAGCATTCATTTTACTACACTAAAATGAATACTATAGGCAGTTATAACACAATGGTAGATACGTATATAAACTGAGAAAGGATACAGTAAAAATTACAGTGCAAGAGGTAAAAATGGTAAGGGCACTTACCATGACTGCAGTTTGCAGGACTAGAAGTTGCTCTTGGCGAGTGGTAAATGAATATGAAGGCCAAGGACATTACACTACTGTAAACTTCATAAACATTGTACACTTTAGGCCACATTGTTTATAGAAAGTATTTTTCTTCAGTAAATTAACAGCTTAATGTAACTTTATAAACTTTTAAATTTTCCTTAACCTTTTGACTTTTGTGGTAACATTTAGTTTAAAATATAAACACTGTGTAACTATGCAAAGATAATCTCCCTTTATACCCTTATCCTATAAGCTTTTTTATATTTCATCTTATGTTTTATGTTTTGTGGAACTCTTGACTCAAATCCAGGGCTTGATACACACTAGCCAAGTGCTTTACCGCTGAGCTACACCCTCAGCCCTTCTATTTTAACGTTTCAATTTTTTCACTTTTTAAACTTTGTTAAAAACCAAGAAACACACTAGCCTAGGCCAGTGGTGGTCATCTTGTGGCATGTGTGCCACAGCAGGCTTTTGGTTACTGAAAGCACTAAAGGGTTCACCACCACTGGCCTAGCCCTATGCAGGGTCAGGATCATCAATTTACTGTCTTCATCTACACATTTTGTTCCACGGGAAGGTCTTCAAGGATAATAACGTAGAGGATAGCATTTATAACAGTGCTGTCTGGAATTCTGGCCTGCTACCCACCCACTACACCCAAGTGCTAGAGATAAAACCCAGGTACATCCTAGGTTAAGTGCCCTATCACTGACGTATACCCTCAGTCCAGCTTTGTGTGTGTGTGTGTGTGTGTGTGTGCATGTGTGCATTGGGGGCTGAACTCAGAGACTGCTGAGCTATATCCCTAGCCCTTAATACTTTAATTTTGAGACAGGGTCTGTAGGTTGCCCAGTTTGGCCTCAAACTTAGACTCCTCCTCACACAGCCTCTCACCATGTCTGGCATGAGAGACTTCATGTTAGCAAACCTCAATTGATACTGCCTCAAAGTTCACTCACTTAATATTTCCTCTAGATATAAAAGTGATCCCCAGGTACAGTGGCACATGCTTGTAATCCCAGCACTCTTAGAGGCTGAGTCAGGAGGATTGCCAGGAGTTCGAGGCCAGCCTGGGCTACAAAGTGAGTTTGAGGCCAGCCTGAACTATGAATTACATAGTGAGACCCTGTCTCAAAAAGAAAAAAGTGATCTCTTGAAAGCACAAACCTAGTCATCTCTTTTTTTTTGTTTGTTTTTGTTTTTGTTTTTTTCCGGTACTGGGAATCAAACTCACAACGTTGAGGTTGCCAGGCAGGCGCTGTGCTGCTGAGCTAAATCCCCAGCCCCTGTAGTCATCTCTTTTATGGACTATTCTGTAAGATAAAAGTATAAGTTCTTTTTAAGTTAAAGCCTTCTTGTTTTCTGAGACATGGTTTGGTTATGTAACCTTGAATTTACTATGTAGCCCAGGCTGGCCTCAAACTTGTGGCAGTCTTCCTGCCTCAGCCTCCTGAATGCTAGGATTACAGGTGTGTACCACATTAATCAGTTAGTTGCAGCCTTTTTAAAACATCTGGTACCTCTTATGTTGCTTCTAGTTTCCTTCCTAAGTTAGCTCATACCCCCATCCCTTTAAACATGGTAATTATTCCCCAACTCCCTGTATGTAACCAGTAAAACTTGGAACAAATATCACCTGTTCAACTTGGCCAAAAGCAACCATTTTATTTTTTTTTAATTTTTTATTTTTTTTTATTTTAAAGAATAAAAGAAGGATAACATAATAATAGGGGGGACTTAGCAAATTACAGACAAAATGGTAGGAAATTATCAATGGTTATCGTTTTACATATTATTATCTACAAAATAGTTTCTCAGGAAAACAAATAGACAAATAATAGTGAGTCAGACAAAAGAGGTAGGAGATTATCAAGAGTTGTTGTGCCATACTTTGGTATCTTCAAAGTGGCTTGTAAAGAAAATAAATAGAGCTATACATGAATGACCTATTGAAAAATCATTAACTATTCTCAATGGTTGTTGTAGGAAACACATAATAATAAACATACATTATGAAATAGGATAGGAACATTACAAACTTAACACAGTTATGGATAGATTAGTAGGAAAATATCAATGGCTGCTGTAATACGTGGTGGTATCTTCAAAGTGAAAAGCAACCATTTTAGATCTGGGTGTTGTGGTACATGCTTTTAATCCTATCTCTTGGGAGGCTGAGGCAAGAGGACTGCCCAGAGTTCAAGGCCAGCCTGGGCGACATAGTGAGACCTTGTCTCAGAAAAATAAATGAATAAAAATTTTTTTTTTAAAATAACCATTTTATTCTGTTGTTCTGCGGTACTTGTTCATATGTCTTAAGACATTTTATCTGTTTATTTGTGGATCAGCTTGTCTTTCCACTGAGACAGTATGGATGAAGGATAAGGCATGTTATATGTATGCCCAGTAGTTCCTGCAAGTAAGTGCTTAATGTGTGATGAGCAAATGAAGAGAAATCATGGTAGAAGCAACGGGTAATAAGATATAGTTTTGTTTTAAAATTTTAAAAAAGCTCTTTGTAGGGAATGAATCTTTCAGTTCAGGTTCCCAGAGGGGATCTTAGGCTTAACTAATTGGTTAGAAGATTTTACTAATAACAAACAGAAGTCTTATCTGTGTGTGTGTGTGTGTGTGTGTGTGTGTGTGTGTGTGTGTGTGTAGACAGTACTGGGGACTGAACCCAGGGCCTTTGTACTGAGCTACATCCTTAGCCCTTTTAGTTTTCTTCTTTTGAGACTGGGTCTCGCTGTCACCCAGTTGCCTAAGATGGGCTCAAACTTGTGATCTTCCTGTCTCAGCCTCCCAGAGTACACCACCATGCCTGGCTTACAAGTCTACTCTTATGTATGAAAGGCACTGAAATATTTTACAAAAAAAAGATTTTATTATCTGAAAGTTTAGCTACATTTAGCTCTTCTGTATTCAAAAGGTATCAATGTGTAGCGAGCTGTGTGTAACAAAGTGTATGCTGAAACACTCCCCATTCCGCCAGGAATAGTCCTGGTTGATGCCTACTGTGATGGATGTTTTTTGTTTTGTTTTGTGGTTATGCAGTTTGAATCCAGGGTTTCAGTGCATGCTCAGTAGGTGCTGCACCATTGAGCTTCCTTCCTTTTGAGAGACAGCATGTCAACTTGCCTAGTTTGGCCCTGAACTCCTGGCTCAAGCAGTCCTCCTATTTATATGCCAGAGTAGCTGAGACCAGGTGTGTGCCAGCAGACCTGGCTCATTGTCTAGCCTAATCAATAGTAGTTCTTTTTTTGACTGTCAAATATCCTGGTTTGGGCAATAAATATTATACATAATATATAAATTACCTGGATAAATTATATATATGAGTCTAAAGAATTTTAAGATTGTATAAAAGTAGCTTGTCAACCCTGATGTGAAGTAAGTAGAACTTGAAAAATTCTGCAACTAGCCAGGTGTGCTGGCACACGCTTTTAATCCCAGTACTTGGCAGGCTGAGGCAGGAAGATCGTTGCGAGTTTGAGGCCAGCCTGGGCTACAAAGTGAGCTTAAGGCCAGCCTGAACTACATAATGAGACCCTGTCTCAAAAAGACAAAAAAGAAAAAGAAAAATTCTGCAACCTTTTAACTATAAAAAAGGTATTCTATCTCATGAGTGGTCAGAATTAAATAAAATTACAAATGAAGGGATTTGAAAAACACATACTTGAGTATAATAACAAAAGGGATTTTTACCTTAAAAGATCCAGTTTTCTGGAAGAGTTCACATTTGAAGAAAAGACTGCGCCCTGCTACTTGATTCAAAATGGAGCTTGTTAGCACTGGTGTGAGATGTATATAATCTCGAATGTTGATATGAGCTTTTTCAACATCAGCAAAGGAGATGCAGTACTGAGCACACATGGTTCTGGAACCCAGGAATAAGAAAGAGGTCAAATCAAAGCCTTAGACCATGTATTCATTGAAAAGATTCTGAGTGTGCATAATATAGAATTGACCTGGCACTCGTGGTGTTATGTGAAATTGTCTCCTTTATTGAATGCCAGAATTTCTCTATAGAGGGTACTTCAAGCTGAAGTTTTTGGTGATAACTGATGGTGCTTATGGAAGTTAAACTTACTCCCCCACTTACACAATCCTTCTCTTGGCATTGCCACTGGTCTATACCTTGCTTTTCCCATCACTTTTGCAGGTACTTCAAAATCAGCTACTATAGGTTTTACTTTTTTTGATATTAGGGAATGAACCCAAAACCTTCACACTTACCTACATCCCAGAATCTTTTTTATTTTCTACTTTGAGACAGGGACTTGCTAAGTCATCTAGGCTGGATTCAAACTTGCAATCCTCCTGTCTCAGCCTCCCATGGCATACTACCATGCCCAGCTTTGTTTTGTTTTTGTTGTTTTGAGATGGAGGCTTGATATGTTGTCCAGGCTGGTCTTGAACTCTTAGACTTCAGGGATCCTCTTACCTCAGCCTCTCAAGTGTTGGGACTACAATGGTATACCTGACTTAAAATTTTATTTACTTATTTATTGTTTGTCTTTTTGAGACAGGGCCTCACTATGCAGTTCAGGCTGGCCTTGAACTCACTTTGTAGCCCAGGCTGGTCTTAAACTCCTGGCAATCCTCTTGCCTCAGCTTCCTGAGTGCTGGAATTACAGGTGTGTGCCACCACACCTGGCTTAAAATTTCATTTATTTCTATGGTGATGGAGACTGAACTCCAGGGCTTCAGGTATTCTAGGAAAGAGCTCTATCACTGAGCTACATTCTGAATTTGTATTTTTAAGTTTTGAGACAATCTCAGTAAGTTGCCCAGGCTGGCCTTGAACTTGGAATCCTCCTACTTCATCCTCCCTAGTGGAGTACAGGTCTGTAACACTGCATCTACCTTAAATTTTTATTTCTTTAAAACATTACTTAACAAATTGCCTACAGTACTACCATTTTAATAAATTAATCAAGCCTGATGTGGTGCAGACCTGTAATTCCACCACTCTGGGGTCTGAGGCAGGAGGATCACAAATTTGAGCACAACCTGGGCAATTCAGTGGGACCTTGTCTGAAAATCAAAAATGAGGAAATGGGGCTGGGGAAGCAGCTCCATGCACTAGGCCATGTGCAGTCCCCAGTACTGCCAGAGACCAAAACTGCTGTTCATTTTCTGTTTCCCACCCTGGGGAGGGACGTCTTTGGCTTTTTTGAGACAAGGTGTCAGGATGGCTTTGAGCTCATTACATAGCCTAGCCTGGCCTTGAACTTGCAGCAATTGTCCTGCCTCAGCCTCCCAAATGCTGGGATTACAAGTGTGTGACACCATGCCCCCATGCCTGGCTCCTTCCATTTTTTCAGTATATAGATATTACATGACAGTAAAATCAAAGCAAACATTTTCTTCTTCCATTTGACTTAGTTTATTCAAAGTTTCCATAATTACAATTTTCAGTAATTGTACTCTTTATGGTAGATTTGAAACATGAAGTTTCTCTATTTTTTGTTTATTTATTGGCCTCGTGAGATAGGGCCTTCTTCTGTAATTCAGGCTGGCTTTGAACTCACCATGTAGTCCAGGCTGGCCTCGAACTTGTGGCAACCCTCCTGCCTCAGCCTCCCAAGTGCTGGGGTTATAGATGTACACTATCACACCTGGCCATTTTCCCTTACTATGAAAGCAATCCATGGAAATAAAAAAAAATTTAATTTGAAAATACAGAGATGTATATTGGGCTTGGTGGCATGCACCTGTAATCCCAGCACTTGGGAGGCTGAGGCAGGAGAATCACTGTGAATTTAAGGCCAGCCTGAATTACAGAGCAAGAAACTGTCTCAAAACCCGCCTAAAACTCAAAGGTGTAAAAAGAACATGAAAGTAACTATTAACCCTCCCTACCAAAATACAACTGCTATCTAAGCTCTGGTAATTTATCTATCCATATTTACATATATATGGCTGGTAAAACTGGCTGACAGGTTAATTTTTTTCAGACATTAAATATCTATGAATTTTTTTAAAGGATACATTCACCCAACCTTTTTTTTGTATGTGTTTTGAGATAGAGTCTCACTATGTAGTTCAGGCTGGGCTTGAACTTGTGATCTTCCCAAGTGCTAGGACTACAGGTATGTGCCACCATGCCTGGCTTTTTTTGGTTTTGTTTTACATACAGGATCTTGGTATGTTCCCAGCACTGGGGAGGCTGAGGTAGGAGGATAACCATGCGTTTGAGGCCAGCCTGGGCTACACAGTGAGTTCAAAGCCAGCCTGAACTACATAGAAGATCCTGTTTCCTTTTTTTTTTCTTTTCTTTCTTTTTTTTTTTTTTTTGTCTTTTGGAGACAGGGTCTCCTATGCAGTTCAGGCCTTGAGCTCACTTTGTAGCCCAGGCTGGTCTCGAATTCACAATGATCCTCCTGCCTCAGCCTCCTGAGTGCTGGGATTACAGGCATGTGCCACCATGATCAGCTCAAGATCCTGTTTCAAAACCAAAAAAAAGATTGCCAGAAGTTCTGCTGTAAAATGTATCAAAGAGGAGCACAATTGACAATTAAAAATACTGTCTTCACCCAAATATGCATGCCTTCCAATTTCAGTAAAGCCTTTCTCATATTAGATTTCTCAGTATTTTTTTTGTTTTGTTTTGTTTTTTTTGGCACCAGGAATTGAACTAACAACCTCACATTTGCCAGGCAGGTGTGTGTTGTGCTGCTGAGCTAAATCCCCCAACCCCTTAATCAGTTTTCTTGTACAAAGTTGTTTTTTTTTTGAGACTGGTAGTGCAGGCTGGCCTCAAACTCCCGGCAATTCTCCTGCCTTAGTCTCCTGAGTACTGGGATTATAGGTGTGGTACCACAATGCCCAGCTGTTGTTGCTTTTGAGGAGATCCATTTACCATTAGATTTTAAAATTACTGATGATGTCTATGAAAATTAATAATCTTTGTTTACTTACCACGACAGGATGCTTTCCTAGGTTGTTAGCTCTAACTTTTATAGTTGATTCCCCACTTTTTATTTTTTTCTAGCTTCAGATACAGGTTTAGAGTAGTGCTTTGAAAACTATCTTTAAGAGTTTGCTTCTCAGCTAGGTATGGTGGCACATGCTTGTAATTTCAGCACTGGAGGCTGAGGCAGGAGAAGCCTCGTGAGTTTGAGGCCAGCCTGCACTACATAGTGAGACCCTATTTCAAAAAATAAAGAGTTGTTTGCTTTTCAACTCTTAAGATCTCTCCTTGCTATGCTGTCTTTATCCTCAGCCTCTATAGGAATCCAGGAGCTCCTCTTAAAATGAGTACTTCTTCATATTAGCTCTTGGCAAGAACAAGAACTCTAGTTGGAACTCCTTGGGTTACCTACTGACATGTGAACTAGTAACTGTGGCTTCTGAAAAGGAATATACAACTCTGTCCTCACTCTTTTTTTATTTTAAAGAGAATAATAATAAAAAAAGAACAATAGCAAAATACCAACAACATAGACAAAAACAAGACAAAGCAAAAACAAAAATGATACAGGGTTTCAGAACAAAATGATGGGAATTAACAGTGGTTGCTATATTACATATTGTTATCTTCAGTGAAGTTGCTCAGATTACCAGATGTAAGAATGCAAGATTGATCAAACCATTAATGAGAATTTAAAAAAAAAACATTAGAAACAATACAGAGTTTCACTTGACAAGATGGTAGAAATTCACCAATGGTTGTTATATTGCATATTGTTGTCCTCAAATTAGTTAAGATTACCAGATATAAGCATGCAAAATTGGTCAAAGAAATATTTAGACATTAACTGTTCCTTTCAATAAACCATTAGACATCAACAGTACAGTCATGCCAGTTATCCATATATAT